TCCACCCTGTGCCTTTTTTTCAGCTTCAGTAAAGAAAAAGCTGTGCTTCTACCTGAAAGGCTTTTTAGGATGCTAGGCAAAAGATACGGCATGAAATACATCACACAGGTATAGTTATGACTAACATGAACAAAATATGCATTTTTTTCCACAGTAAAATCACAGTTCGCTTTTTATTTTTTAATTTTCCTCTTTGAAAAGATTTTAAAATTCTTAAGTCTATAAAAAGATCAATAGTAGGAAGAACGTTAACAGGCTGGCAAAATATTCCTTATTTACCTGAAGTAGCAGAATATGATGATAAGCACCAGAAGGATACTGCAAACGGTCACGGAGATCAGCAAGGCCTTATGGTGAATGTTTCCTTCCGCAAAGTCTGGAGTTTAAAAAAGAAACAAAGGCAGAGGGAATGAAGTTGGAAAATTTGGACAGGGAGGTGGTACCAGGCTGGCATCAAAAGACAGACGCGTCTTAAAAAGTGCACTGAGCAAAAGCATCGTTTCTTTTATTTTCTACTAAAATAGTGTATACAGTATCCCTGGCTTAAATAGTCATTTTGTGCGTTTCTTCTTGGACCTTCAGTGGCCAGGGCAAAACTGGCATCATGCAATATGGCCTATTTCATTGTGCAGACCTTACTGGGGCAAAAATTCCCTTTAGTAACATTGGGACCTTTGCCTGGATGTGCAATTCTGTTTGGCTCTGATTGAAAGACTCAGTTAGGGAAAGCAAACCAGGACCTACAGTTCTGCGTCTTAGCCTATGTGCTCAGGTGGGACATATAAAAATTACTGCCTCTATCTTAAGTCCCCTTTATGAACTAGAATCCTGTTAAACAGCTAATAATAAAAAAAAAAAAAAAAAGAGTAACTGCATTTATCCTAGCAGGGAAGACACAGCAGCGCATCTAACCCTCGAGAAAGCAGACCACTGAAGGTAAAATTATCCATCTTTCTGATTCTGTTTTAAACATTTAAGCAGGAATTTTTTTCTCCATTCGCTCTGTAGCAGCCCTGGGCACCAGTAAGTCCTACACAGATGGCCAAAAATATCCCTGCAGCAGGTACTCCTTCAAACAGTTTGAAGATGATAAATGCAAAATGACCGGTGGGAAACGCCATTGCATAAAAACGATTAAAACGTTTCAGTCAGTCTTTGCATGGAAGAGCAACATTCTGTTTTAACTCGTAACCATAATCTGTACATTTGTACTCTCTCGGTGAGTTTGACCCTCAGGCATACTTCTCTGCTGAAAAACAGAGAGAGATCCTGCACTGTTCTTGAAAAACAAAGTCTCAACGTGAGGGCATTTCGGCAGGCACACACACCACCCTCCCCGAGTTGTTCTCTGCTGTGACGCAAATCAGGCTCCCGGCCTCACTGCCTCGCGTCCTCCACGCTAATGCCGAACACATCGTAAAACGCCAGAAATCCATCCTTATCGACGCATCCTGCACCAGCGCTATTATGCTGCAGATTTGCAAGGGTAACGAGACAAGGCGATTCCTCCGGGACTCTTGGTTTACTGTCAGGTGCTTTTCTTTTAAAGCTCCAGTTTCTCCATCTCTTTTTGCCCCCAACTCTTTCTTTCCGTCCCCTTCCCACCCCAAACAGAGATTACCTACCACTGCACCTTTTGATCACGCTGGTCATGTTTTAACCTGCCATTACCTGCTCCCGGAGCATTAACAATGTAAACATTCAAGACATGGCCAACGCCCTTTAAAAGCGACCCCGGCACGCCGGCCAT